TATTTCTCAAGGTCGTCTTTTCCTTCATACTTCAGAATTTTGGGGGGTACGAAATTTGGAGGCATTGGAAAACTATGAAGCTCCTTAGAGAAGAGGAGATTGTCATCATCTTCGTCAAGCTCCTAGGATCAGCATGGTCCATCAAAACCATTCCCATACGCTAAGTAACGAGGCGAGGGCTGAGATGACCCTTCTCGATTTTCCCAGTTCACCAAACTTCGGCTCTCTCGCATGTTCCTAGGCAGAGGAGTTTGGGCTCTTTGGCTTTGTACCTACTCTTGTGACCGAGCTGTTTGATGGGTAGATTGGTTCATATTTCTAGGCCCTTGTCCAATTCAATCAAACACACTCATAAACCGTTGAGGTTGCTCTTCATAGTATATGGAGAAGTTGTCCCATCCGATCTGAGCAGCATTGTCAAGGCGAACGGAGGTGTAGTTGGATGAAACATCTACCCCTACTTCCCTTTCAACCCGGGCCTCTCCTCTATGTTAACTTGAATGGGTCATCTGGTTCTGCCCTGCTTCTGCTTGGTGTTGGTCGTAGGCTTATTGTGGGATACTCTGAAGAACTTGGAAAATGCTTTGATTTTGGACTTGCATGAAGAGTTCGTGTATAGCCGTATTTTCGGCTATAATGTTTCTCATGTTGATAGCCATCTAAGCCACCTCAGCAGTTACTCGTGGAGCAATTTTTTTGCCCTGCAATGGCGTTGGAGAGACATTTGGTGTGTGGCATTGGTTCTGAGGATCTCTTCGTCAAAGACTTCCCTTACTCTCATCAGATTTACATCTTCATTGCTTGAAGCATCGTTTTTGGCTTGCAAACTCTTTTCTTTCAAGATGTAGGTTATCAATGAAACTCAAAATCTCTTCCTTGGAGCTTCCATTTGTTCTTTCTTCAAGAACAAAACCTTATTTAAGGGGAGGCCAATTTAATATTTTGGTAAGCTTTTTCTTATAGGGATATTCATGGTTATAGTAACGTTCTCACAAACGGTATCAATCTGTTGACCTCGGAAAGTGACCCTAACATACGGCCAACGGGATGTAACTCCACGTAAGCTTCTTCTTGCGCGTGGTAAAATATGTTCGTCACCTGTGGCCTTTTCTAGTGAGTGTAGAAACAGTCGCGAGCACTCCGGCGATCAAGTCAGTGAGATGGTAGACTGGAGTTGAGATGTCCGGTGGTGGTGATCACCGATTTGTGATTATCAACATAAATGTGTGGGGACAAAGATAATGTAAAAGGCTAGTGTTATCTTTTCTCAAAAGGCTGAGTGGGATCCCCTCCAATGGTGCAAACATGGGTTTTTATAATAAAAGGAGGTGAAAGGGAAACTGTTGGATGTAAAGCACGTGGCTTCGGATCCTGGATGGGTTGTTCATTCACAGGCATCAATCTTCAATCCATATGTGGGAGGATATTTAATGCTTCCTGACATAGTAATGCTTGACTTGACATTTTGGAGTCTGCAAGACAAGCGTCCCATCAATTAGTCTTAAGGATTTGATTTTAAGATCTTTACTTAAAAGATCTCCTAATACATAGGAACGAAGTGGAGTAGTTCATGGTAGGAGTTGTAGTCGCGCTCTGGGTTCCTTATCGCCTCATCACTCTGGGCTTGCAACAGTAGACATTGATTATACACGACAATACAAGTCGAAAAAAAGATTATCTAATCACCCACGACTTTCCGATTACTAAGCAATGCATCATAGGGTCACTTGTTAATTATATTTGTCTAATTGCGTTTGATGAAGGGTAAAGCTTATTATAAAAATGTTTCTAATTTTAGGGAGATTATATTAACACACATTACATTTTTTAATTACATTAAATATCATTTCCTTTATTTATTTTCACATTTATATTCTTAACTTTTTAAATAATATTTAGGGACGAAAAAAAAAGAATTCGTTAAATCCAATACTCGCAACCTCATACCTAGATCCATCTCCTAATTGGGGTACATGGGGCCGGGGGAGGGGGAGGGGTAGGGCAGGACAATGTGGGACATCGTTTCCATATAGGAAACATAGTCCCCACCCCATTTAAAGTTCATTTCATCATATAAGTTTTTTTTATATATATACAAAAAGAAAAGAATAAGGGAACATGAGTTGTTCTACAATTTTAAAAAAAAAGTAATTATTTTTGTCAACTAAATACATGAACAAAATAAAATAAAAAAAGAATGGAGCGATAAACGGGACAAGGGACATGTCTCATCCCCACCCGAACCTGCCTTATTTGGGTATGGTGGGTGGGGCAAGAAGATAAAAATATTTGACCAGCACGAGGGACGAAAATCACGATCTCGACCCTCCCTATTGCAATCCCTAATAATATTCTTATTTTAACTTTTGATTAGTTAACATATTTTGTCATTAATCACAATTGTCATCAAAAAATATTGATAGCGTGCTTTAAAACGAAAGAAAAATATTTTTTCTTAATTTTATAATTAGTTTTTGCTTACATAAAATTACAAAATACAAATAATTCTTTTTACTCCATCTTAATGAAATTTTTGGATAAAAACAATCATCAAGGACAACTTGCGCTAATTTAAGCATAAGAATGCGATAAAAAAAAAAGAAGAACATGAATGTAATAATGAATAAAGTTTATTAATCTTTCATACAATTAAAATGCGATACAATTCTTAAAAAATGTAGCGTGAATATATTTTTTTGTTTATTCTATTATCAAATGTGATAGTTGTTACAATGACCTAATTCAGTTCCTTTGGAAGTATGTTTTGAAAGATAGAGCAAGGGAATGAAGAAGCAAAAGTCAAATCCCAATAACAATGTCATGAAAATGCCATATGCTCTTTTAAATTGGCTTCCGCGTCATTCTTTGATAATTTTATACATTCACTTTTCTTGGATATTGATACTTATTAGAAATTGTCTCTTTTGTTTTTATATCTTATAATGTTTAGGGTACGTGTTAAAAATTCTATCAAGTTGGGAAAAAGAAATTAAGATATGTTGTTTGCAAAGGAACTCGTCGTCCAATAAGAGTAATGTCAAAACTGAAAATGTAAAGGGAGAGACATTTTGAATGACCTGAAAGGAACAATTTAGGCAATTATATAAACGATTGTTTCAAAGTCATATAGCACTATATTAAGCTCGGGTAACATTCTGCAGTTAGACATTTCAAAGTAGTAAGATTATCCAGTAGAATCACTAATGGGTAGCGGAGGAAGAAATTGATAGAAAAACATAATAGGATTATCGATCAAAACAATAATCAAATCCTTAATTCTCAATAATAATCATAGATCTTACTCCATGTTGAAATTAGAAAAAATAACAAAACTTAAAAACATACCTTGATTCATGATAATCTGATTCTTTTCCTTGATTGGTTAGGCTCTTCCAAATGATTAGTAATCTTCCCTTAGCTTTTTGCTC